TGTGGAATTCTTTTGTGACACCATTAGAACTTTTGGAATTCGAAAAGATAATTTGTTCTCGAGAGAATCTCAACTCGTTTTTACATTTTTCAGTACCGAAAACCTGAATGGGGTGTGGGTCTAGATACATGCCCACACCAACATCCATACCCATACCCATAGTTCTGGGTGCTGTTGTTTGCCAAGTACGTCTTCTTCGATCGCTGAATGATCTTATTGACGAAGAAAACTAAATGCCGATAACAAAAAGATTATTGCTTTTTCCAGATGGATTACTAATTAATCCTTGGCTATCACTACTGTTCTGTCGAGAAAAGGAAGACTTAGCGCCCACCAACAAGTATGTGTGAGGCGCGAAAAAGCTTGTAATGGTTACGTCATCATCGAACCGACCCCCTACCCCTTAGTATCGTCATCAAAAGTAAACAACTCGTGACCTTCTTCCACTTCCTCAGCGATGACATAATATCTAAAGGACCTTTTGTCCCTTATCTTTTGAACGAACGCTCGCAAGAATTTTATTGCAAAATCGATTTTAAGTTGAATTCAAACATCAAGTTTCACAGTACTATACTTAAGAAGGTCTATCCCCGATAACTGTTGCTCTTTCTATTTGTCCGCGATCAGGCCAATAGCCTCCAACCGGATAATGTTGAGTTGATGCATTATCCCAAAACGGGGTGTGGGTGTAGGTGTGGGTGGGTGTTTGGGTGGGCGTGGGTGGGCATGGGTGGATGCGGGTATAGGTGTGGGTGCTGGTGTAGGTGTGGGTGCTGGTGTAGGTGCTGGTGTAGGTGTGGGTGTTGGTATGGGTGGGTGAGGGTGTGGATTTAGAGAAGAAATAGCGACACCTACACCCACACCCTCACCCACACCCATATCCACATCCACATGATTTTTTTTTAATATCAATAAAACTATGTCAATAGAGTTCTCTCATAATTATGTTGTTTTCTAGTATTCATAGTCTACTTACTCGTGAACTTATATTCAAACTCCAATGAAGTGTCAGTATAAAAATCGCTTTTACAAATGATCAATAAGCATGAAATAAAAACAATCAATATATTTATCTACTGAACACAATTTGGGTGTTGATGGGATGTGGATGTGAGTCTGTCCTCTCTTCTCCCACACCCACACTCACATCCGAAAACGGCAAAACAGAAAGAGCCGATTGATGGAGTAGATCAGCGAATTAATCAAAACGAGAAAGCAAATTTTCAATGCTGTTGCGGCGTAAGCACTATTTTCGACTGGATGAGAAAAAATATCGTTGAAAACAAATCTAAAAACCATTGAAGATAAAGTTGTCAGCTACTGTGAAAATTAATTAAGTTGAAATGAAAATGATTTTTGTCTTGTCAAAATTGAACTTAGTATAAGCGCCTAATCAAAAAAATTATTTTTCCTGAAATTCAGTTTTGCCTGTGACATATCTGTATATTCCTTCGTGTATGTCATCATGTTTGCTACGTGGTTGCGCAATTCGTATGAGTCATATGAAAGGGACAAAATCAGAGTAACACATTACTTTTTATCATATATCATTCACAAAGCAAGCAACTCAGGTGAGCATGGTTTTTATTTTTATATCTCTGCCGGTTTCTTTCTTTTTCTGTTGAAGATCGAATTCTGCGCAAGAAACTATTTTAATTCCTTATAGATCGAATAGAGCTTTTTTGTATAAGTATGCCACCATGTGTTTTTGTTTGTATCGAACTGTGTATCCGAAAAGATATCAATTTTTCTCGTGGAGAACCTCAGAAGAAGAATTAAGATATCGGAATAAATTTTAAAAACTATTTGGGTAAATTATTTGTCACAGTTTATTTAGGAGTGCCATGTCCAAAGCAACGAAAATAAGATAAGATTAAGGGTCTAGATGTGTGGGTGTTTGTGAGGTGAAAGTGAAGAACTACAATCACACCCAAACCCACCCCTAGTTTACATCATCCACACTGGAGATCTGAGTCGTTAGCATGTATTTATATATAAAATAATATGTTTGAAGAGATTCCTGTTTATAGTATCCGTTTTGCTGAGAATGATCTTTTAAGAACTCAAACAGGTCGTTCTTTGAGTAATGCACTGAAATGTTTCATGATTAGTCTTGTGTATTTTTGAATGATCCCAAATAAGTCAAGTCATACAGTATGAGTAACGATCTGTGCACCGCATATTAAATGAAATATATATAGAATAAATTTTTTTTTCTGCCATCACTCGTCGTCTACTCTATCCTTCAATCTTTTTACTGTTGCTATGCGCTGTCATTCTCATCGGAGCGTTTATTCGAAAAGAATTTAAAAAAACGAAAAAACGGGAGACGAGAGCAACCAAATAACAGGACAGAAAGTGCTTGCGTATTGCAAAAATAATAAACGAGTCATTCGAAAAATAAAGCAAATAGTAACACAACAAAAGTAAAAAGCAGCAACAGCACATCATTCGAACAACGGCAAAGGTTTTGCTGATAATTATTTGATTGCCGTGAGTAAAATATTTTAAAAAATTCGAAAAGGAAACGAAATTATTTTAAATCTCATGCCCAAAGTACCAACACGCTCCGGATATCGAAAACTTTTGAGACTGATTTTAACATCATACTGATGGGGTGTCGGTGTGGGTGTGGGAGTGGGTGCGATTGTTTGTCAGTGTGGATGTGACTTTGTTGAGAACAAAGCCCATAACCGCACTTACACCGATACCCAGACCCAGACCCAGACCCAGACCCAGACCCAGACCCAGACCCAGACCCAGACCCAGACCCAGACCCAGACCCAGACCCAGACCCAGACCCAGCCACCGCGTGGGGAGAATGCCT